GAGGACCTGAGCTGAAAGATTGGCAATAATTCTCACAGGATTAATAAACAAGATCCTAAATGAAAATGAAGTGCCAAATTGGAATGAAATAAGGTTATCTATACTCCATATGTTAGAAGGTAACAAAAAATAATATACAAATTATAAAAATAGAAACAGAAAATAAACTTTACTTTGGGACGAAGTTTTCTTAGAATAACAATAATTAATAGTTACAAAAGAAATAATACATATCTGGCCAAAAACTAACTTAATAAAGATTCAAACAATATATACAATAACTTAAATAATATGAGAAGGCGTTGATCGGGGGGTGCGGTCAAATAAATTCTAAATTATACAAATAGTATTATTTAATTTTTGGAAAAGGCAAAAAGGCAAAAAAAAAAATTAAATAATACTATTTGTATAATTTAGTATTTATTTGACCGCACCCCCCGATCAACTCCTTTTCATATCATATCACGGTCAACCATCTCTACATCAACTTAAATAATAGTATGTAAACAACTAAAAAATAAAATACATTTTTCTCAACTACACTTATAGTTGTACTGGGGGAAAATAAAAAATATATACATATATAGAAAGAAACAGCAAAACCTCCAGAAAAGGAAAAATATCAAAAGGAACTAAAGAAAAAGTATTGACTTTTTATGTTAAAACATACAAAATATATACATGGCTTAAAGCTATATTAATGAAAGAAGATGAGCAACGGGATCACAATATTGCATTATCGTGGCAAAAGAGAAATAAAATAAGAATAAGTAGATAAATATAATTGGCAATAGGCATTAAATTAATTTTATGAGAAAACCATTGCAGCAACAAAAAGAAAAAAAATTAAAAGAACTAATTAAAAAAAAAAATAAATTATTTAAATATGTTACTTAAAAACTTAGAATGAAAACTCGTATTGTAATTTATAAACAAAAACAGAGATTAAGATGGGAAAAGATAAACATATCTACAAATTAAGGAATGTAAAAAATGAAATACATTTAAAACATATAAAATCTTGTAAATAGAAAACAAAATGGATAAAAACAACAAATAATTTCTTAATTTTTTTTCATCACAGTGCTATGTAAAAAGTGATACTGATTTTTTTCTGATTCATAAATAATAATAAAAAAAATATATATATTAAAAAAAAATAGTAATGGTGTATGAAAAGAAAAAAAAGAAAATAATTCTAGAGGTATATGTGTCACCTCTTGTATAAAACTCCTGGATAAAATATTAAAAAATAGATTAGAAAGGGACTAACTATGATAGTATAGAAGATCAAAGTGGCTTTATCACTGGAAGATAGACCACATTTTTACAATAAGAGAAATCTTTGAAGAACATTCTAAAATCTATAGATCTAAAATATGTAAGATTTAAAGTGTCTGTTTATTGACCTGAAAAAGGAATATGAGAGTGTTCCAAGGAAGAGATTGTGGAAAACTCCCATTAGAGTCCACAATAAATATCATAAAAGAAATCTACCACAACAATGTCTGTTATGTTCAATTATGGTCAAATCTCTCTGAAACATTCCTGACTTTGAAAGGACTTTTGCAGGGATACTGCCTTTTACCAACCCTTTTCAAAATTTATGAAGATGTCACTCTCAGATAGTAGAGAAGAAAATGTGGAAAAATGGGAATAAGAATTGCGGAAGATGTATCTATCACAAATCTAATGTTTGCTAATGATCAAGTAATCCCAGCTTAGGAGAGAGATGATATCATGACATGTTCAGAAAGGTTAGAGAATTGTATGAAAAGTGGGTTTGAATATTAATTTTTGAAAAACAGAGCACCTTGGCACTTCAACAGATAACACAGCAATTGAAAAATATATTAAAACGGAAGAGAACTTCAAATACCTGGGGTTTATCTTCAATAGTCAAGATACCTTCAACAGTGATACCGAATAGAGAATTAGAGAAGGAAGAAAAGTCACTGCAATGCTCAATGGCATCCTTTAGGGGCTTGAATGTACAGCTAAAGAATTATTCCACATTCATTGAATATTTTACACTGAATCAAAATAAAATAATTTGAGTGGTTGTGCAGTGAAAACAAGCAGATAACATTTTTAAAACAAAAATTTATATAGCATACATAACATTTTAAAAAATTAGCAAAGGTGATCATGTCAGAGCTGAAAAGAAAATCAAATATTTTTGTATAAAATTGAATATTTTTCCTTACACTTCAATTAAGAATTCTACCACATCCATTGCATGTTTTACACTGAACCAAAATAAAATAACTTGAGATGTTGTGCAGTGAAAATGGGTGGGGAAAAAAGGATGACACTGGGGAACAAAGCCCCATGGTTGTGTGACTGTGGTGAGTTAGGTGTGGTAGGGGAAGCTGAGCCTAGCAGAGTCAGCTTCCAAAACCAAACTACGGTCGACCCAAAGTTGACCTGAGCTGACCTTATTACGCCGCTCAACTGCGCTCAGATCAGCTCAGCTTCTGGTGTCCGGCCTCTCATTGAAAACCTTTGGTTCGGTTTTGGAAGCTGACTCCGGTACGCTCAGCTCAGCTCCGCTGCACTTTTGGTGGCCGGTCGGCCTTACTAAATATTTCATATACTAGTAGGCCTGTGCGAAAAATTTGCACAGCATATTATTATCAAAAGGCAAATTAATAAGAAAATAAAATAATGCAACATATCAAAAGATAAAGAAATTAAATGTTCCTTTATCGATAAATATAATCGACAAAGAAAACAAAATATAATTTAAATCTTCATTTTTATTTGGAACCAATATGTATACAAATTTCAGTAAGCTGTATTTTTGCTAAATATTGTCAGATTTCAATGATTGTTTTTTTCATTTTGTAGGGAATTTAGTAATCTTCTATATAATCATGGGCATAACCAAGGGAAAAGTGTGCAATTTTTTAGTTATTTCGCAAATAAAGTTTGTTTTCTTTCATAACTTGTTTGCCTGAATTTTTGGGGTGATTGGACTATTTTGCCAGCCTGAAGGAGAAGGAGCCTTCGAAATTGTTGGCTCAATCTTGAGATATGGTGAAAAATTAACGATAATATGGCTTGCCGATCAAAAACACCATCGATAAATAATATAAACTCCTCCTCTCTCGATCATAGAGACCTCAAGTCGACGAAATGAGACATGTATTTAATGACAGTACTACAATTAATGTAAGGTTGTGTGGATGCGAATCCTGTGCCTTGCGTTATCTCGAAAATAGTAGGTTTTTGGGCTTAAGAACGCAGGATCCGATAGTTCCGGGGGAACTATCCGGGTCTTGCTGTACGCATCAAAATCTTCAAGATCCAATTTATCCCGTATCGATCTATAGACCTACAACCGTTACAGTATTGAAGAATAGCAAAATGTTTGTATCGACTTTAATTATTTTAGAAAGAAAAACAAAAGTGGAGAATACGATTCGCTAACCCCCCGTGAAATTCTGAATCCAACGGTAGCCCATTCATGGTATTTGAGCATGACAGGAGCTTATATTTGGTACAAAACTGATTTCGAGCCTTACTGTAATAATATATGTGGGGATAGGTAAGTGAAAGTAAAAAAACAGAAGCAGCATTTACCATATTTAGCGCTACTAACTGAAGGTAAATGTCAATAAAGATAATGGAAAGTTCTAGGCAGATTTCAAATTGAAAGTGGTCGATATTTCAACAAATGTGAAATGAACCTTGTATTTTTCAAAAAGTGTTTTTCAAGTAAATTGTAGGCTCTGTTTTAAAGGGATTTTCCCCCAGCAAAAATTGTAAGTGTAGTTTCGCTGATATATTGCTTGCATATTTATTTAATAAAATAAATTATCTAATTTATTGCACACTTGTTATTAAGTTTCGAAAGATTAATTCATGATCAATTTTTTTTTTTGGGACCACTACTGCAATATAAAGGGTTATTGTATAATGAAGAAGTTGATAAGCCAACCAGTGTGCGTTCAGGAACATTTATAGGATATTATTTCCATTTTTTTTTTCCATTAGATTATGCTATTTACAATATAAATACAATATTTTAAGATATTTGGAGATTTTTTTTTATTGTGTATTATTACTACAGTGACATGATAGATATATGCTCATTTAAAATGATTTTTCCTTATACACTTCTTCATTATCTGTGAACTCTGGCTAAATGGCAATCACTTATGAAGGTTAAATAAAGATTAAGATAATTTATTAATCTGATCATAAAAATAAAAAAGGTAGAAAAAGAAGAAGAAAAAATGTATATTCAAAAACAATTAACAATTGCAAATGAAGGGCAGATATTGTATTGTTTTATTTATTACAAATACATACTTGTTATTCTTAAGATAACTTGTCCCAGCATAAAGTTTATTATATATATATAAATGATAATATATATAATAGAATAAAATAAGAGATAATTTTCACAAACTTTTTCATTTTCATTTCTAAAGTCAAAGGTTAAACCAACACTGCCAGTTCTCATTGTCAACATAATGCACTACTACTTCGCCCTCACCTTCACTTATCATTCTGTCTATATAAACCTCAGAAAATTTCCAATGATATATAATTGGTTTATATTTTTCTACCAATAAAAACCTAGTCACACAATGCACCTCACAAGATGCAGAATTTTCTAATGCAACTCACATTTAAAGAATTCACTCTGAGAAAAGTAGATACAGCAATGTATCTGCATGTATCATCACAGTACTGGATGAGTACTGGGTATGAGGACACTTTGGAATAACAAAAGGGCACATCTAGCCCCTGCCCGCCTTCATTCTAAGCCAAAATGTATGTTATTTTCTTAAAATCCTCAAAATTAACATGAAAATCTGTACAGTGTCAAGCAGTCAGTTATTTGATAATACTTTAAATACATTTAACAGATTAATTTTACTAGATTTGTAACAAGCATAACAGACTAAAATGTAAGAGTAATTATTACTGTTTAAAATAAAAATATTTCATTAATTTATTTTTGGATAAAATATATAAAAAAATCTTACAAGTTTATCATCGATTACTGTTTGGTCATCTGTTCTCTGTTGTCCTAGTAGCCTGTCGGTCTCCAAGTCAGTATCAGCTTCATCTGAAAAATAAAAAGCTAACTATAATCAAAAGAAAAGTGGAATCAATAAATAAGAGGCACTGAAGAGAGGAAAACATTAAAAATTACTAAAGAAAATAGAATAGAAGAATCAATTTTATTCTGTGACAAAGTCCCTTAAGAATAACAATATTGATTATAGAAATTAAGATTAAATCTGGCAAAAAGATCTATTACAATAAAAGCATAGAAGTATTTACATAGCTATAATGATATATTAAAGAAAATAGATAGAGATAAGGTCACAATACTGCAAAATAGCTGTTAAAACAATAAAGTAAAAATAACTAAATGAAGTTGGAAAAGAACAATAAATTACTTTTATAGGCAAACCATTGTAGTAATGAATCTTGTTGTAGTAGATGGCCTTTAGTATTTACTCCTTTATGTGACATTAAGTGAGGTAATGTATAGGAATGTAGTGTTGCACTATGAATTGTACTCAATTATGCAGTGGACAAGTTGTTTATTGAAAAGTATCAAATCGATAAACAATCGACAAAAAAGGTACAGAACAGAGAAAGGAAGAAACCAGGAAAAGGGCAGATAGATGGCAGCAACTGAAGAAGGACGCTGGGGGAACGAAAAAAAAAACTTTTTGTAGGAAGAGGAAGAAGGAAGGATGTTACCTGAGAAGAGAAGCCTATTACACTGAAGATTAAAAATATCAAGCCTACAGTTATAAGACTTAAATAAATTCATTTATAACAGTTGTCAAAATAAATTGTTTTGTTATACAGGAGTGAAAAATCCTTTTATTTAGTTGTTCTATATGCCTCACAATTGAAGAATATTCATTCAAAGTGTGTTCAAAGTCCCACATTTCACACACACACACACACACACACACACACACACACACACATATATATAAATATATACACTGACAGGCAAAAAATTACACCAACTTGATTTTTCCATGTTTTCATCTAAAAATATTTCTGTAAAGTTGTATTTGTATATAATACATGGTATTTGTAGATAATACTTAGTATTTATGGAATTTTATAATCTTTTTTACCTTTAATAATAAAAATGTGATTGGGTAAGAAAGATTAGAGAAAAAAAAATTGAAAAACGAACCATTATTATTCTAAAATAAATTAATTACATCATCGTTTATTTATTAATTACATCGACCTCCTCGTGCCTTCACTACTTCTTGAAGAAGCATCAGCATACTTTCCACCAGTCGGGAAGTGTCCCTTTGCTGGAGGATAGCCCATTCCTCCCGAAGAGCCCTTTCAAGGTCTTGCAGTGTATCAGGAAGTGTTGCATGCGCTCTTATTCGTCTTCCGAGGTTATCCCATAAATGCTCAATGGGGTTCAAATCTGGAGAACGTGCTGGCCAGGCTAAAACCTCAATATTGTTCTGTTGAAGGAACGTCTACACTATGCTGGCGACATTCGTGCATTAGAATAGAACTATCGCCGATTTTGTTGAGGATAGGCAACACATGAGGTTTCAGAATCTCATCTACAGAGCGAATGGCCGTCAAAGACCCTCCACGAACAACAACCAATTCTGTGCGGCGCTCCATTGAAATCCCAGCCCACACCATTAAGGAACCACGTTGGAAAGGTTGGCTCTGGGAAAAATTACAGGTTGCATATCTTTCGTTTCTTCTTCTCCACACCCTTTCACGCCCGTCTGGAGATCGAAGAGCGAATCTTGACTCATCTGTAAAAAGTACAGCACTCCATTCGTCCATAGTCCAATGCTGTGTTCTCGAGCAAAAGCCAGCCATGTTACTCTGTGAGTTCTGGTCAACTCTGGTCCTCTTACTGGACGAAAAGCCATTAATCCATACTCATTTAATCTTCTCCGAGCGTTATGTTCAGAAATTTGCACACCTCGAACTTCTTCGAGCTGATGAATCACTTGAACAACGGTAAGGTGCCGGTTTCGTAAAATTCTCAAAGTCAAAAACGGTTCATCCCGTGGTTCTGTTACCCTAGGCTGTCCAGAACCGGGCCTTCTATTGTAAGAACCAGTTTCCCGAAAACGCCTGACGGCGTCTCGTAAAGTTTCATATGGAACTCCGATGGCATTAGCTGCATATCTAATGGAACGTCCATCATCAATAAGTGCCACACCATGCGCAACATCCTCAGCACTAAGAGGCATTTTTAAACTTAATATTGAAAAAATTAAAAGCCGGAGACTAAGAAATGTGCTGCAAGAAACGGCACTGAACTAATGATACTGAATAAACATTTTATTCCATAGAAAGTAAACATTGGAATCTAGAATCATTTCATTGAATTAAGGATTAAGGGTTATTGTCCTCTATATTAACATTCCTAATTGAAAACAAACAAAAAGATTACCTATTTATTCATTAAAAACAATAGACCAATCTAAAGCAGAAATATTTTTAGATGAAAACATGAAAAAA